GTGTCAGAAAAGACAGAATGGAGAAGACCTTCCATCAAGTTCACCAAGTATGAACTAAATCGCTGGCTGACGTCAGATTAGAAATGCTACAGGGATGGGGCATTATACTAACGGCCATGGGGAACCACTGAAGGCTGTTTTTTGCACAATGGGGGCATAACCAGGGTTGTGCTTTAAGGTTTGAGTCTGGCCCAAAGCACAGAAAATCGATTTGTTGAGGGCACATTCACCTGGATTAAAGATCGAGACCAAAGGTAAGCCATAATGGGCAGATCTGAAAGATCCTTTCCAAAATAAAATGTAAGGCCTGGTTGGATATAGGGGGAAAGGATGCTAATAAACCCATGATACAAGTTCTTATCTGTTAACCACTATGTATTACAAAACACCAAGCCAGTGTGGGGGAGGAACAAACTTTTCTCTACCCTCAAGGTTCTTCTGGCCAGTCTAATAATCAGATAAATAGACATGAGACAGATTAGCAAAAGGACCAAATTAAATACATACATATATGGGAGCTCCCATATACAGGAGTCAGAGCCCCACCCCCACCCCCAAGCACAAGAGGCTCAGAGTTAGAAAGGGAACCTGGGCCTGTAAGACATTCCGAGCTAATGAGGTAAGGTGCCTTGGGGGCTTCAGAAGTTCATTTGCAGGATGATTAGAAGAGCAGATCTTTAGTAAACAGAAGTTTGCCCTGCCCTATAGACAGGTCAAAAGAGGTTATCTCTGACAATAGATTATGGACCAGGCCCCTAATTGAAGTTCTCCTAGGTAGTTAAGGCAGGAGTGGGTAGAAGTTTCTCTTGAGCCTGTGGCTAGGCTAAAGTTGTGTTTAGCTCAAAACAATCTGCACACCATGGAGGCACATCTTGGGGTAACTCGTTCTGGACCCACACACCAGGTCCCATTTAGCCCTGTGACCCTTTTGTCACTTCTTGACCCACCTTGCTCTCAGATCCACACCCGCCTGTACCCCGTCAGATGCCAGGCACTAGGCCAGGGCCGGAGAAGCTTCACAGCTCTCACCCCGATTTCCTCTTAACTTGCTGTTGGTCCTGAACCTTATCCTTCAAGTTTCCCCTCTGTTGGCCCCACCAACATGGGAATTTCCAAGGAAGTAAACAGGCACCTACCTCTCCTCGCCTATTAAGGCACCGTGCTGCCCAGTTGCCCTGAAACTTACCAGCCCAATGAAACAAACCATTCCCACCCTGCTGTCTCACTTCTCTGATCCCCGGTAAATGGAAGGGCAAGAACACACGGGCCCAGCTGGGGAAATTGGGCCAGTTGGACCTGGCTCTGGTCCACTGCCAGGGACAGCGACCCCTGGAAGCCAGCAGGAGACTTAGTGAAGGAAGCTCAGAAGAATTTGACCTCCAGGAGTCCATAGTCAGCCAGTCAGCTGATGCTACCTTTTAAGATGAAGGGGGAAAGGACTTCAATGAAATGGACCCAGCCTGGAGACGCTCCCTCCCAGGGGTCCTTAGAGCCTGCACTTCCAGGCTGAGTGTTCTGAGACCTGCACGTGAGAATCATGTGTGCACATGTCCCCCCCACCACCACCACCAGCTCTAAGGTCTGCAGATAGAGAACAGGGAGCGTCCCCTGCAGCACTGAGCGCCTTGCCTTCAACACAGTAGGCATCCGAAAATCATGAAAATCATTCGCTGACCAGGCTCAGTGCCCCCCACCCCCACCCCACAGGTCTGCCTCCTTGATTTTGGAGCACTTCTGCTTTACAGTTCTCAGCGGGACCAAGGAGGGAAGTGGAAGGGGTCCCGGCCCACTTTCTGCCCCACCAGTTTTCAGACACGGCTGCAGCTCAGCCCCAGCTGCAGATTATCTTCTGGACAAAAGGGCCCTTTTGCCTCACCTCCCTGGAATCAGTCAAACAAATATTTTTAATCACCTCTGAAACCAGCCTTTCCCCAGGCTCAGCCACTCAGCCCAATCCAGTTCCAGAATCCCCTTCCGCCCTCTTTCCCTCTCCAGGGGAGCAGAGAGGCCTCAGGGGTGCCAGTGGGTTCAAGGCCTAACCAGCCCTGACTGGCTTCGCCCAGCAAGGATGAGGCAGCCAGGCCCTCTCACCTTTCCAGGGCAACCAACGTCCTTACCCCCCACCCCCACCCCCAATCCACACAAAGGCCTGAGAACCGCAATGTAAAGAGCATACTGGGCTTCACTTGACTTGGTCAGTCTCCCAGGCTCAGGGGCACAGAATAAGACACGGACCACAGCCGGTGGTTACCTTCAAGGGTGCCATGACCCTTGAGAGCTCCCGGTTGGAGGCACCTATGCTCACTCAGGAATGCCACAGAGCATCTTCCTTCCTGCCTGTCTGTCACCACTCAGCAGCCTGTCAGGAGAGATGGATGGCCCCAAGGACAGCCTTCCCATCTCCTCCCCTCCTCCTTCCTCTGGGACCTGAGATACCTGTGCCTGTAAGCCTCAGTATCCAGGTTGAGGGGCTGGGAGGCATCCTGGAACCCCAGCCTGGCCCTCCACACCGAGGGTCAGGTCTTGGGCCAAAATTCCCTGATCACTCTGAAACTTGGATGTCCCAATCCAAGGGTCTGCTCTGGAATGTGCCCCACCCCCCACTAGCGCTCCCTCCCCCAGCCACATATTAAGGCTCATGAGGTGGGGGGGGGGTTGAAGGGGGCGGCTCCAGGAGCACAAAACCATATTTCCACATATTCTGGTCCCTGTGCTTTATGGATCAAGACTGGAGCTCTTGTGACTGGGTTTTCCTGGATATAAAACTGCAGTTCGGGGATGGAGGGGCGCTACTCAACCTCTGAGGCTGGAAAAGCCATTGGGGGGTGGGGGGAATCTAGAAGCCACGCTGCCAGAAGTAGAGGCTCTTTGATTGTCTGAAACCCCAAACTTCAGGCAGGAAGATTCTGAGGGCTGCCCTCTTTACGCCTTCCGCCCTCCCCCGAGGGTCTACGCGGACGCGACCCTGGACATCGGGGCAGAAGGCGCACGGCAGCCAGCCAGCCTCTCTCCCCCGTTCCCTCTGGCCACAGAAACCTGCCCTCCCCATCACGGTAGCGGGCGGCGGAAAGGACAACTGCCCAAAGTCACTATTGACCGTGGAGCGGGTTTGGAGGGGGCGCCCCTTGGAGACCCTCATCAGGAAGTTCTCCCCCGCCCCCACTCGGAGCGCCGCGACGGACTTCCAGCACCCCGAGTTCCCAGTGGGGTCCGGTGTGGAAAGTTTCTGTAACTGAACGCTGTCGGCACGGTGTCCTCCGCCCCCGGGTTCTCCACACCCCCGGCCTCAGCCCTCGCTCACTCTTCCCGACCCGACTCTTCCGGGCGGCCGAGGGGAGGACGGAGAGGGAAGGCAGCAGCCCTTACCTGGGACGCGCCGCCGGCCGGGCTACGGCGCGGCGTTTGGGGCCGACTCCTGCCCCAGGCGGGGCGCGGGCGGAGGTAGGAGGGACTCGGCTCAGGGCGCGGGGCCAGGCCCAGCCCTGGCCTGGCCTGGGGTAGCGGGGCCCAGGCAGGGGCTTGGGACGCGGGGCCTGCCTCTCCCCGGACCCCGGCTGAGCTGGCTGAGCTCGGTCGCTCGCTCTCGTGCTGGCCTCTCCCCGCGCCCGACTCGTCTCTCGGCGAGGGTGGGCCCGCGCCTGCATCACCGTGACATCACCTCCATTCAGGCGCTTATCGGGCGACCGCAGCTCCAGGTATGTGCAATCGGTTTACACTGTAACAAAGCCCGCCCAGTCCTCCCCCTCCGACTCACCTCCAGGCTCCGGCGAGTCGCACTTTCCGGCCCAGGAGGGAGATCGGGAGTTTCTGGCAGCGCTGGCAAGTGAGTTGTTGCTGTTTACTGCCACGCCCCCGCATGCGGGCGCGCGCACACTCACGCGCGCTCACTTTCTGGACTGGGCTTTCTCTCCGGAAAGCAGTTTGGGGGTGCCACCCGGCGCACCTCGCGGGCGGACCCTCCCTCCTCGCATGTTCTAGCGCGCGGGCGCACAGATACGCGCGGGGGCCGCCTGGGTGCGTCTCTCCGTGGCGTCCATCTGGCCTTTGTCACCTTCGTCCGGGCTCCCCCGTGAGACACCCGCCGGCCACAGTTCGCTGCTCCGGGCTGGAGGAAGGCGCACTCTCACACAAAGTCCGCCTTTGTCACGCCCGCTGCGCCCCCTCCTCGCCCCGAGCTTGCACACGTGGACGCACCACACACCGCGCGTCCGCTCTTGCACGCGTGGTCCTTCCCCAGCACCCAGGCCACCAAGTGTGCGTGAGAACACCACTGTGCGCGCCCCTCATACGATGGGCTGAGCTCAGAACCACCCAGGATGGTGGGCAAAGGTCGCCCGGGAGATGACTACCCCGCGCCTGGGTTTGCTGCGACGCTGCCCCCCAGAGTCGGCCCAACTCTGAGCGCGCCTCCCCTTTCCGTGTCCCTGTTCCTTGTTCCGACTTGTCCTAATTAGCCTTCACGCTCCTGTTCCCCGAGGTACAGCATTTAACCCGGCCCCCGCGGTGTCTGCGCTGCGGGACGCGTGGGCCGTGACTCCGAACCCTGCCCCTCCTGCGGCCCGGGGACTTTTCCACGAGTTTGGCGATCCCTGGCAGTCCGCGCCCCACCCCTAATCCCTGCCCCGGGCGCAGGGCGGGCCGGGGGGGAGTGTAGATCAGCGGGTTGCCACCCTTTCCCCTCAGGCCGAGTAACCAGCAGAAAGGGAACCGGAGAAATGGGGAAGCGAGTCCAGGCGGGGACTTCCCCGGCCCAGTAAACAAGAGACTCTTCGGCTGCCCTCCCCCGGGGCTGCGGGCTCCGCGCGAGGTGGGCTGCGCGGCCCGGGCTCCCAGCGGGGCCTAGTTCGCACGCGCTGGAGGCCCGGCGGGGCCGCGGCGCACCGGGAAGGGAAGGATTGTTGGGCCTGGCCGGGACCCAGGGGACGCAGAGGGAGGGCGAGGCGCCGGGTCTCCGGGGTGCTGGTTCTCGTGACGCCGAGTTGCCTGGGGGATCGCCAGCGGCGCGGGGTCGGAGCCAGCCGGTGGCGGGACGTGTTTGCTCAGCCTGGGGCGCTGGGCGAGG